CAGCACACACTTGTTGAGAGTTGAACACGCAGCCCAACTTTAAATTTTCTGAACACGCAGCCCAGATTGATAGTGAACACGCAGCCCACTTACTGATTGAAAGTTGAACACGCAGCCCAAACTTTAAATTTTCTGAACACGCAGCCTAAATTGATAGTGAACACGCAGCCCACTTACTTGTACACGGCTTATTCATTTCATTAGCACACAGCTCATTCATTATACTGGCACACAGCCCATTCATTTCATACTGACACACATATATTCATTTCATATTGACACATGTATTCATTCTGAATGCAGGTTGGTTCCTGCAGTGTGCGGGGGTATGGTTCCACCATCGTGCGGGACTGGTACGCTGAGCTCCCGGAGGGTGTCCGAGATTTAGTAGACTTGGCAGGGTTCGGGCCCTTCTGCGTTGGGTTGTCACGTTGTCCTGCCAGGAGGACATTGATGGCGGCATTGGTAGAGAGATGGTGGGACACCACCAACTCCTTTCATTTCTCTACCACTGGAGACATGACCATGACGCCTCTAGATTTTTCTGTGTTGACTGGCCTGGACGTAGGAGGTTGGTCCATCCCCTATGATGAGGACATGGGCGAGTGGGAGGCTGCCTGGATGTATCTATTGGGGGCTCACCCGCCTGTTGACAGGGTTTCTGGGAGAGTCCGATACACTTGGTTCTCTTCCCACTGCCGGCGGGCGGAGATGGTGCCCGAGACTCCTGAGGAAACGGAGCAGTACGCCCGTGGTTTCCTTATGTTCCTCTTCGGGACTACCCTGTTTGCCGATAGAGGGAACACAGTCGGGTTATATCTGCTGAGCACTCTGGTTGACCTATCACAGGTCAGTAGATATGACTGGGGTGGCGCCGGCCTGGCTACCCTTTACTTTTATATGAGCGCGACCTCCCGCGGGCGGGTCGATTTACTTGGCGGCTACTGGAGAGCCTGGGAGGTACTTTTCTGTTCCCTTGATTTACATTTCCGCTCTTCATTACTTGTACATCGCACACACGGCGCACTTTTACAGTCTGTATTTTGCTCTCAGCATTCCGTACTTACATTCAGCACTGCTTTTCTCAGCTATGGGTCTATGTATACTTCCCAGCATTAGCCCCAGAGTTGGAGGTGGCAGGGCCCCCCATGACCCCATATTCACTAGTGTTCGAGGGCCTGCACCGGCCGAGACCTCGAGAGACCCTCCTTTACCTACGACAGTACTTTGACACTGTGCGACATTCAGAGGTACCTCAGAACTTTCAGTTCCTTTCATTTTCATCTTTGATTTGCTCTGTATATCACACATCGGCCATTGGCCTCATAATTTCATTGTTCACAAACGGCCCTTGGCCTCATAATTTCATTGTTCACAAATGGCCCTTGGCCTCATAATTTCACATTAGGGCTCTTAGCCACATTAGCTCACAAATGGTCCTAAGCCACATTGACTCACAATGGCACTAAGCCACATTGGTTCACAGATGGCTCTAAGCCACATTGATTCACAATGACACTAAGCCACATTGGTTCACAAATTTATACTTGCCTTGTTACATTCCATTAGTCACAAGTTTCATATAAGGTGTGTATCCCTTCACAACCTTTTTCAATGTTTTCACAATTTCGTATCAAACCACTTATGGCAACATATCATTTCATACCAATCATTTCATGCCAACACAAGTGCTGACGGGGGTTCGCACCCCGATGACGAGGTCTGCTGGTACGTCATCTTCGAGCCAGGCCCGGGCTCGGGCTGCAGACGCCCCTTCTACTAGTAGGGCTGGTACATCGAGAGGCGGGGGTAGATCGGTTCCTCCGACTCCTCCGACTTATCCTCATCCTGGATGGCCGGACATGCCGTTCGAGTTGACGGGATGGCGTTTCGGGACTCCTTACCCGATTACGCTAGAGCCTCCACTTCCTGACCATAGATATGTCAGGGATCCTGATTCGCCACCGGTATGATTTATAGTTTTGATTTATCAGTCGGGTACTTGGACATTCATTCCTTTACTGATAGTTTTGCCTTTGTATCTGCAGCCTCCGGTTGAGTATGTGGACGAGATTCTCGGGGTGATGGCCTCGCTTGAGGGCATGGTCCTTCGGAGAGAGACACATCTATCCGCTATGGGTGCGCAGGTACCGTTTATCTTTCTTGTATTTATCATATTTCTGATGACACACTGGTTTTAAGCATTCTTCTGCATTGTAGAGCACATTCGACACACACCTCACTCATATACTGTACTCGCATCTGATTTTCATATTTGAACTGATGTATTGAATTTTTTCATTTTCAGATACCTCCTGTATATGCTCCGCCGCAGGCCGGGCCACCTGGGTCTTCTTACGGAGCTGGGCCATCTGGGCCTTCTCAGGGAGCTGGGCCATCCAGGCCTTTCCGAGGAGCTAGGCCATCCAGGCCTTTTCACGGAGCTGGGCCATCCAGGCCTTTCCGAGGAGCTAGGCCATCCAATGAGGAGGAGGAGGATGTTGAGGAGGAGGAGGAGGAGGCTACCGACCTTCAGTCAGAGACATCTGCTGAGGAGGGGGGCTCCGGTCTTGGTTCGGGGAACAGAGGCGAGGCTGAGGGGGATCCTGAGGATGACAGCTCCAACTCAGATGATGATGATGGTGCAGAGGCTGTCCCGCAAAAGAGGATGAGGAGTGCTTCTCATTCCCGCTCCCGAGGACATTGATGCTGCCGTTTCCTGCTTTATTTTCCTTTTTGTAAAACATGATGGAATGAAACAGCTTTTGAAAAGGTGTTTGTATTTTAAACTTTTAGCATCGTATCGCATCATTGCACAAAAAAAGAAATTGAATGGGAATGTGCATTGTGTAATCACCGAGTCAGGTAGTGAACCGACACAACAAACTAAGCAATTCAACTTACTAAGATATAACAGAACCTTAGGAAGTTTACAACTCGATAAGCAAAAACAACAGTGTTGACAACGTAAATAAACAAGACTTTAAACAAAGATTGTTTAAACAAAGAGCAATGACTCGAAAACACGAAACACGTCCGCTCGACAAACAACTCGATAAGCAAAACAACAGCTCGATAATCAAAACAACAACTCGACAATCAAAACAACAACTCGATAAACAAAACTTAGCAACAACAGAGCGTACTTCGGACGATCTGGGCACCGGAACGCATCCG